ATCCAAGCGCACACACCTCAACAGATATTTAAGATGGTGTGTTTAATGTTTTTACTTCTGGTGGTTTTGTATATCGTTTTACTGTTTTACAACATTTCTGAAACTTTTGGGAATTTACTTTTGGTCTCCAGGACAGTTCTGCTATCAGCCAGGCTGTGAACAAGATTTGGTTCACTGTACTTTAAAAATAGATTCATGTTCAAGTGCTTTCTAGCTTTCATCTTTTCAAGACTCCTCTCTTTTGCTTTTGACTCGGGTACGCCACGATGCGTGCCAAAGTTTGGTGCGTAACTGAGCGTAAAGGAGTCCGATCCATCCTCTCTTCTTCTTCCTCCTCCTCTCTGCTGCGTGTTCCCGACATGCTGGGATGTCTCGAGAGTCTCAGGAGAGGAGGAGAGAGACAAAGAGAGAAATAACAATAAAACGTTTGAGTCACCATCTGAGGGAACAATACACTAGCCAACTCTTGGATGGATGGACAGTTAGAGAGGGAGAGACGCACAGAGGAGAGAGCGAGACAAAAAGACTGCGCGAGAGACTTGGTGCCTTTATTTTACAATACGCACAGGTTTTAGCCGTGCGTCCTGGCGCAGGCGGTGCCCAGAGATTGCAAAAGAACAACAGCGGAATAAATGACTGTTTGGGTGTAACCTTCCTCTATATGTTTAATTTGGACTTCGGTTTTATGAATTACTCCTCTGTGTGTTTGCAGGTCAGTGTGTCCGCTCCGACTGCTTGGCTGCTGCCTGGACCTGGAGTTGGAGCAGGTGTTTATTTCGGGGTAACATTTTGTCTCTCGGAACATCAGGGACTCTTTAGACGCCTTTGATCGTCAATCCGGGCGGACATGTCGGGACAGAAACCGTCCCTGAAGAGCGGCGACTCCTCCCAGAGCCGCTTCCAAGTGGCTGTGGTGACAGAAGCATCGTCCGCAGCTACAGCCCCGGTCTCCACCGATGGAGCCAAGGACCACGAGGAGGGCAAAGGCCGGTTCAGGGTGGTGGGGTTCCTGGATTCGGGCGCGCTAGGCAGCGCGATGGACATCGGGCTCCCGCCTGATGTCTTCCACGAACCGGATACGACAAAGAGCGACTCGGTCAGCCTCCATTCAACAGGCACGGGACAGACGCACATCTCTGACTCTCACTCCAACACTTACTACATGAGGACATTCGGACACAACACCATAGACGCCGTGCCCAACATTGAGTTCTACCGGCAGACTGCTGCGCCTTTCGGGGAGAAACTGACCAGACCGTCGCTGTCGGAGCTGCACGATGAACTCGATAAAGTGACGACAACAAACTTCCATCGTTTAAAAATAACCAGTAACAGTAAACACTAAGTGACCTGTCTGTGTTTTTTGTGTGTCTTACCATCCTTTCCATCTTGGCTATGATTGGCTGTCAGGAGCCATTTGAGGAGGGTCTGGCCAATGGAGAGGAGCCATCAGCAGCGGAGGAGGCGGCGGCGGCCTTGGCGGCAAAGGAGGCAAAAGGAGGAACCGTCAAGTTTGGTTGGGTCAAAGGTGTCTTGGTTAGTGTTAGTGATAAAAGGAGCATCCCCTGTATCTCAATGTGACGTTTCATGCGATCTAAACAAACACTGGTTGTAATTTAGACAGTTACTGCTGCATTAATAAGATGTTTGGGCCTTATAGAAGCTCTGGTGATTTCCCAGTGTGACTTAAGGGTGGCTGCCTGCTGCTCTTTCCAGCTTCTGGACTGGCCCTGAGTCAGACTTTCACAGCTTCTATTTCTATAATAAGCCTCACTTTTCCAGACTGACAGTTCTGCTGTAGCTGTGGTTAAGTACTGACACTAATAAGACCCTCAAACAATGCTGTGGTTTGTTAATTATAATGTTACTTGGTCATGATTCTTGGTCTGTTAGAATAGTTTAGCAAAAGTTAACATTCTGTAGCTGAAATGACAAGTGGAACAGAACATTTTTAGCTTAGATGGGGAGTAGTGTGTGTCCCTGGTTCCAAGAGGAAATGATGGTGCCGGGAATGTGAGCACCAGGCCAGCTCCAGTGCAAACCAGTAGGTGACATCACACCTTACCATGTGCTCTTTAGATACTAGCTAAGGTTTTAATCACACTGAGGACACAACTCTCACAGTGATATCACAGGGACTCACCTCCCACCTGGGATACAAGCAAAGTTAACTGTGTTTGTGTTCGTGGCAGGTTCGCTGTATGCTGAATATCTGGGGTGTGATGCTCTTCATCAGAATGTCCTGGATTGTCGGACAGGCGGGAATTGGTAGGTACAAGTACCCAGTTCCTCAGTGTGACTGTTGTCCAGAAACGAAGCCATCAGACCCCGCACTGTTGCACTGGCTGACATGTTCCTTCATCACCATGACTACACACTGTAGTGTATTTTATCTCAGTCCCACATACACCACCCTGATGCCACAAGTACCCACTAGAGACCAAATGTGGATTCATCCACTGCTGAATATAATCCCCAGTAAATGCATTTTCCTCCTATTTGAGTAACAGTTGATAAAACCTGCAGTGGCCACCAGATTTAGTGTGGAGAGATAAACTAACACGTGGGTATTTTGTCTTTTCATGGGATTTGTTATCATCAGACAATAGAATGCCAACTACCTTAAATCAAAAATCAAATATCGTCTGTTTGCCATGGTTATAACATCACATGTAGCCATGAGGTGACACAGTTATCTCATTAGAAGCTTCTGTCACTTCACTTCTGGTTCACATTCACTGGTTTATGCACAACAGGACTGACCATTGCGATCATTCTGATGGCCACTCTGGTCACCACCATCACTGGTCTGTCTACCTCTGCGATAACAACCAACGGTTTTGTACGAGGAGGTGAGATAACAACTGCACCCGAGCTTTTACTTTGAAAATGTTACAGTGAAATCCAGAGGATTCAGGGTCTGTCCCTGTTGTCCAGGAGGGGCATACTATCTGATCTCCAGGAGTCTCGGGCCGGAGTTTGGAGGCTCCATCGGCCTCATCTTCGCCTTCGCCAACGCTGTGGCTGTGGCCATGTACGTTGTAGGCTTCGCAGAGACGGTGGTTGAGATGCTTAATGTGAGAAACACTGTGCTATAATTGTTCAAATGTCAGCATAACTACTGAGAATGGATTCTGATACTGACCTTGTTTGTGCTCTTGTTTTTGGATGCAGGATGTTGATGCTCTAATGACTGATGAGCTAAATGACATTCGTATTGTTGGGATTCTGACTGTCATCCTCCTGCTGGGAATCTCTGTAGCTGGGATGGAGTGGGAAGCCAAGGTCAGGCTGTGAAACCAAAATACCACAGAAAACAGTGACCACCCAACATCCTCTGCTGACACCTTGAAGAATGACACATGACAGATCGCAGTCAAAGCTCCGCCAAGGCAGTTCACGGTCCCCATAATGCTCTTCCACCTAAAAAGCAATGTTCCCCTGAGAGTTTGACCCTCATTACATGATTCATTGACCATGAAAACCTCCCCTTAGCTTTTGGAATCACTAGTAGTTGGAAAGTTTATTAAAGAAAAATGATATTTGGATGTGGTGGTTTTCTTCAGGATCCAGCTCAGTAGCTTTTGAAGCTATGTCAAATATGTTGACATCTACTGAACCAACAGAGTTTCAGCTAGAATTTGACCTTAGTTGCAAGTCAAAGTATTGAAAATATTGAAATTGCCCTATTCAACAGTGGTGAAGGATCCGTTAACAATTTCTGGATCCAGATCAGCATCCAGATCTACTGGATTGTTGTTCTGGTGGATGAAATACCTGAAAACTAACGTCATTTCCCATCAGCCTCTTTGTGTTCTTTGTGTTCACTACTATATGTGAACACAGTAAGCATTATGCCTGCTAAACACCATCGCTGGTTGCACTAACACTGTGGGCATGTTAGCATGCTGGTGTTAGCATTTAGCTCCAAGAGTTGCTTGTGTGGTTGTAGACTGTCTTGTCCATATTTCCTGGTATAAGACAATCAGACATTAGGGAAGTCGTAAAAGCAAGATGCAATTTAATCATTTCAAGGCACCTGATTCCTGTTAGGATCAACAAAGATTCAGTCTTGTTATTTGCCCCTTACTTATGACTCTATCTCTGTCAGGCTCAGCTTGTCCTCCTGGTGATCCTGCTGGGAGCCATCGCTAACTACTTCATAGGAAGCTTCATGCCGACAGAGAGGAAAGAACCCAAGGGATTCTTCGGCTACCACAGTCAGTCTGCATCCCATTCTCTTGGTTTTGGTTTATGTCTGCATCGGTTTCAGACGTCCTCTGTGTAACATCTGCAGTGTAAACATATAAATTCTATACTGTATATGCCCTGTTTTGTCTCTCTCCTCCAATAGCGGCCATCTTCTTAGAGAACCTGGGTCCAGACTTCAGAGATGAAGAGACTTTCTTCTCTGTGTTCGCCATCTTCTTCCCAGCAGCCACTGGGATTCTGGCTGGAGCCAACATCTCTGGAGACCTAACTGTGAGTTCATCTTGTATTTTACATTAAGTGTATGTGGTAGCACTCCTACCAAGTGTAACTAATGGATAATGTTTTAAAAAAAAGAAAGACTATCTCTTTAAAGAACATCTAGTTGAAAATGGTGTTTTTGCTGATCCTGGTGGTGGTGCACGATACCGAGTGGTCAGGGTGCAATGGTTCACCTCTGATTTAACTTTTGGATGATCTCAGAGGTGTAGCAGACATGAAACTTTGAACCTGTCAGAAAACTGTGTTAAACACACCAGGAAATGAGGCAGGAGCGCAGGGCAGAGCTGGAGGGAAATCCGGGGCAGCAGGAGACTGGATGAGGAAGCACAGTCCAGAAAAGTCCAGAATGGAATAGAGCTGGGACAATAAACCGGTGTTTCATAGTACATAGTATATGCCAGAGTTTGGATTCCTGTACTTGGTAAGTTCAAACTTGGAGTCCAGACTTCTGAGGACGGGGGGACACGGTGTGCTTGCCGTGCAACACCAGTGTCCTTGCTGGCAGATTAATTTGAGCTAGATGATGACAGACATTGACCATCCACTCAGCTAGGTCTGCAGTGGGTACACATCCCCGAAAACATCAGAGTGAGCTTCCAAACTGGCACTGAGCAGACACTCCACATGTTCTAAATCTATCTGGTTACTTTCTAGTCTGAAAAAATGTCAAAACTTCAGAAGGCAGCATAATACCAGTCCTTGAGAGACTTGGCTGCCTGGAGTCCACACAAGTCAACTGCCAAAGCATCCTCAGTCAAATGAGCAGAACAAGAACCGATGCAGACTTTGAACAGGAACAGAACTTGGGCTGTGAGTGATGACGGTTCACAGTCCGCAAGGAGACAGGCACAGTGCAGAGTGCTGAGAAAGGCCCCAGAGTGATGACGGTTCACAGTCTGCAAGGAGACAGGGACAGTGCAGAGTGCTGAGAAAGGCCCCAGGATTGGGACACAACTGGGGGAAGTCAGTGACACTGCTACTCCACCTGCTTCCACTTTACTGCTAATTCTGTTGAGCTTGAAGTTAAATCTCCACTAAACATGAATAAATAATGAAGCTGAATCTCATCATGTCTTCGTCTTTAGGACCCTCAGTCAGCAATCCCTAAAGGAACCCTGCTGGCCATCCTCATCACAGGACTCACCTATGTGGCGATCACCATCTCTGCAGGTTCATATCACATACGAGTTTAGCACTTCTCTGTACATAACTCTGTCAACTGAGAAGTGAAGTTGCTTTGCTAGAGTTGTAGCTGTTTGTACTTTGTCTTCTAAAACCTGTTTTTCATCTGTTGCACAAACTGAGTTCTGAGTCTGGGTTGGACACTGTCTGTCACTTATGTCCCTTCAAATCTGAGTGATCTAAAGATCAGGTTTTACATTGTAGATTGCTACATTTAGTCTCAAACCTGGGGAACATTAGCATGAAAATGCTGGTGTAGATCAATATACAAACTACCAAACACCATATTGATCATATAGTATTTGATCATATTGACTTTTTTAAAATGAAGAAAAATTGATTCTTACTATTAAAACTGGATAAACAATAACTTCGTACTCGTCTCTCTTTGAAAGCAGTTTAGAGTCTCACCTGGCTTCAGGAAGGACGGAGCCATGAGTTGTGAGTGTGTTGGTGTGTTTTCATCAACCTAAAAGAGAAAATAAACAATCAATAGTGGACAAATTGAAAAGCCAGTTGAGTGCAGCACTACTGGTGTTTGTGATATGTAAGTGAGCGGATGATAAACGGTGCAGCAAACAAACTGACAGCTGACTCCGGCTTCAGCAGGCGGAGTTGTGTTGCCACAGGAACGTCACTGTGTGTGTGTTGGCTTTCTCCTGCAGGCTCCTGCATCGTGAGAGATGCAACGGGCGATCACAACGACACGGTGAGCGACACGGTGAACTGCACCGACGCCGCCTGCACCCTAGGCTACGACTTCTCCATCTGCAAGGAGGGAGGCTGTCAGTACGGCCTGATGAACGACTTCCAGGTACCTGGCACGGTCTCAGCTCTGCTGGATGGAAACTGGTTTCTTTGATACACTGGGATGATGTTGATTGTCCACTAAATCTAGAAGCATGGATCTGTCCTGCACTGTGTGGACAGCATAGGTGGTTATGTTGTCTTTTAGTTAGGGTGCACCAGCTCCATTTGGTGCCGAAACATTTAACAACTAATTAGCTGACTGATCGGTAAATTGTTAGTCATTCAGCTTGTGATTCTCCAATGTAATGATGTGCTGTGCTGAAATATATTTGTAAACCGCATATCTTTGGATTTGGACTGTTGCTCAGTCAAAACACTTCCAGATTTTGGGGAAAACTAATGGGCATGTGTCATTACCTTCTGACATTTTATAGGCTAAAGATTTACTGATTAGTGGAAAAACTAACTGGCAGATTAGTTATTAAATCATCATTAGCTGCTGCCTTAGACCCAGTGGTGCCTCTAGACTGACACTTTGATACCATCATAGCAGACCAGCTTGATGACGTGCCCCGAAGAGCACGACGGGCAGCTTGTAGCAGTAAGTTCATTCTCCCTGTCTTAGTGCAAGAATCAAATTTAAGTGAAATAATATCAACGACCTCGCCACAACAATCTACTGATAACAGTCCCACTGTCTGTAAGAAGGCATGCCAGCCTTGACTTGGGGCAGCTGAAGAACTGTCACTTGACAGAAAGACTGACAACATTTAAATCTTTGTTTTTGTGTGTACGGTCTGACTTTGTGTGAGTTGTATGGACCCCAGGAACAATGGCTCCTACTCTGGTGAGTCTAACAGGGAAGTGAAATATAAATTATTTGACATTTTCTCACCACCTTTTGAGATCTGTGGCCATGGCGGTGCCACTCCAGTTTAGAACCAAGAGGTCACTTGTCAGAACCGTGTGTCCGTATGACGGTTGGGTTGTTAATGAGTCCTCTGCCTTCAGTTCCTCTTTTGGTTACACTGGGAGTGTATGAAAACGAACTGCTGAGCGTGCCAGCATGTGCGTGGCAGCTGTAATCAGCTAAAAGTGGTGAGAGCAGCAATGGACAAGATCAGATGCTGTCACACAAACACATGGAGATATTAACATAGTATACAAACAGAGTGTATACCTTGTGAGTAATCCAGGGGCTTGACTTTACTGATCATGGAGGGACGCTGCAGTTAATGTTCAGCAGATAAACATGCAAAAGTACATGCTGACACACTATAATTTGTAACTGTGACCCAACAGAGGCATTTATTATTTTACTCAAAACACACAGACAAGCTCAGAAATGTGTGTAACATAAAGACCAACACACACAGGCTGAGTGTGACGTGCATCACAACACCCACAGCTATTGTCTGCTATAGAAGCCGACACATGGGCGGCCATGTCCCACTTCCTGCCGTCAGCACACACCAAGCAGCAGTTTTGATCACAGTGGCCTCCTGGATGAAGACATTCGGTCGGTTTGCAGCTGCTTGAACGTCCTGTCTCACTTTGAACCATGGCATTACTTTAACCATTTAGTTATGAAGACACACACTTTACACACTTTGAGATGCCACATATGTGATATTAGATGCTAGATTTTCTACTGATGGACCACTGAGCACCTCTGGTCTCTGGGCGTGTGTGTGTTTGCTTTATATCCAAAAGCAGAAACACAGTGTCATTTCCACTAAAACTCATGCAGAGTGTGTTGTGGTTGTTTAACATGGATGTCAGTCTAATCAAACTGCTGCTCTGATCCTGTTTCTCTGCATGAGGTCGTACATGGCTGCACTGCGGGACAGAGAGACGGAGCTGTTCCCAAACAAAGTGCAGCAGTGATAATAGCCACTGTTGTTTTGAGTCACAAGGTTCTCGCTGGTTGGAGTCAGAGCTGAATGAAAGCATTGACGACATCCACCTACACACACACACACACACAACTCACTGACACTGATATCACTGACATGGTGCCATTGCTAAAAACACTCGCTCTTGTTTGATTACAGTTCCTCTAAGTTCTGCTCTGCTGAATCACAAGACCAGAGCAGAGAAGCAAATGTGAATCGATCTAACATCTGTGTGTGTTTCGTCTCACATGCTAGCAGACGTCACACATTGTTGGTAGGTACTGGTGCTTGAACACAGAGCTGTCTTCTGTCCTTTTCAGTCTGCAGTACAAATGTGTTGTTATGAGACCATTTAGGACGATTCTTCTAGCTGTTCACGCCGGCGATGCCCACACTGAGCCTCTTGCTGCCCAGGGTGTTCCACTGGGTCGAGTCGAGGCTGCTTCAGCCCGTACAGCTTCCAAAATGTCAGCGCTGCTGTCCTGCCTGGACAGACCTGTGGTTCTCACACAGATGTGACACGTTGTGCCCAGACACAACACTAAAAGCAAGTTTACAGAGCAGGATTAGCGGCTGTGCACCATGTCTGACTGCACCAGCAAACAAACAGGAGATTGCAGTTTGGTGAACTTGACATTCCTGTTCCTGCAGTCCTGATAAGATATTCTGCGGCATGTGTGTGTTGTGCAGGTGATGAGTCTGGTGTCGGCCTTTGGTCCTCTCATTACTGCAGGGATTTTTTCAGCCACCCTGTCCTCCGCCCTGGCCTCGCTGGTCAGTGCCCCCAAAGTCTTCCAGGTCAGAAACCAGCTGTTGAGGTGTATTTTAGCCCGATCTGACAGTCGCAGCATCTGTAATGGCAGATTTCTCTTTGAATAACTTGATTAACAAATGATGGCCATTGTGTTTCCAGGCTCTGTGTAAGGACAACATCTATCCAGGGCTGAGTGTGTTTGCAAAAGGTTATGGGAAGAACAACGAGCCTCTCCGCGGGTACGTCCTGACCTTCGCCATTGGCCTCGCCTTCATCCTCATCGGTAGGAGAGTCAGAGATTCATTTTGTAAAGATGCAGCTCCTCAATGAGAACAACAACAAGCAACCTCTCTGTTGTTGTTTACTAGCGGAGCTGAACATCATCGCTCCCATCATCTCCAACTTCTTCCTGGCCTCCTACGCTCTCATCAACTTCTCCGTGTTCCACGCCTCCCTGGCCAACTCTCCAGGTACAAACCAAACTCCGGCCAGACTCGCTGCTCCTAGTCATCATGTATGATGGGATTTACCTGAGATTCGCCCTGACCTGGGTTCTGGTGTGAGGCTGACTTGGCCTTTGAAATATTGTAAGCGAATCTAAGCTATTGAGTTTATTAAACCTTTATTTTGGTAAATATTTGGGTTTGCTGATATGGTTCTGGGCATTGAGCTAAATACCCGACTCGACCTGGTGTTCTTCAGGACTGGAGAAGAGCACCTACTTTCATCAGGTATGCAGCTGTCACTGCTGCAGATTTATGAAATATAATCAGCTGAATTACACGTGCACCTACTTTCATCAGGTATGCAGCCGTCACTGCTGCAGATTTATGAAATATAACCTGATGCCTGTTGCCCTGTCAGCGTAAAACGTGCATGAGCCTTGAACCGGCCAGGTTTGACAGCAGCGTCTGACATCTAGGCCGAACTAGAAAACCCCACTGGGAACAATTTTACACTTAGAAGATGTAGAAACTGCCACTGGCTGTGTCGTTTGAGCTGCTGAAGGCAAATAACCAGACTTTAGAGATAAGATTAGCTAGCTGTCTGTTTTGGTTTATCCTTCATGGGAGGCGGCACAGTGGTGCAGTGGTTAGCACTGTCACCACACAACAAGAAGGCTCTGGGTTTGAACCTTGTGGCTGACAAGGGCCTTTCTGTGCGGAGTCTGCGTGTTCTCCCTGTGCCTGTGTGGAACCATGTTTGGTCAGACATGTTTCTCAGTAAAGGGCTCACAGCGATGGACAGTTCACCAGGAGATTCAAACTCACAACCAGAATTCACAGAATTCACAAAGGTGAAACAGCAGCTTAAACAACAACAAAGAAGTGAACCTTGAACAGTTTGAGCTGGTTTGTTGCACTTTTATTGGTCCTGGTTTACACTGGTTTTGTACATTCAGCTATTTGTTCTTGGATGTGTGAACCTGGGACGGGGGCTGCAAGTCAGCTCTTAGCTCGAGGCCAAATACGCACATGCAGTAATGAAGAGTAAGAGCTGTAAACAAGTTTGATCTCTTGCTTCCTTTCATCACAGAGCCTGCTATGACGCTCAGTTGAGATTATGTTTCATTTCATAAATATTTGCAGAACTAAAACCTCAGTGATCCTCGCTGTCCAGTTTACAGTGTTCTTCATTCTGAACCCGGCAAGAGGAGTCATTTTGCCAGTCACCTGACCTCAGATCATGGGCTGTTAGTGTTTGCTGGGATGTTTGGTCATCATTCTACCATCTTCCTGCCCTGTCTCTCACCACAGGGTGGCGTCCCAGCTTCAAGTACTACAACATGTGGGTGTCCCTGGCCGGGGCGATCCTGTGCTGTGTGGTGATGTTTGTCATCAACTGGTGGGCGGCTCTGGTCACTCTGCTCATCATCCTCGCTCTCTACATCTACGTCAGCTACAAGAAACCCGGTGAGAACACGATGGTGCCACGGTTCATCTCAGAGCTGTGGCCCAGTGCTCGGCTGCCCCGTCCTGCTCCACCACACTGTGCATTTACTGGTGCTCCTGCTGTTTTCTGCAGATGTGAACTGGGGTTCATCCACTCAGGCTCTGATCTACAACCAGGCTCTGACTCACTGTCTGAACCTCACCGGAGTCGAGGACCATGTTAAAAACTTCAGGTCAGCACGCTGCTCCCACTGGCTGTGGGTCCAGACGTGGCACAGTTAAGGATTTAAGCTGAACTACAGCCACTGATGCTGCTTTTGGTTCAAGCATCCAGCAGAAACGTAGCAACAGGGACAAAACTCCAGAAAATCTAGCCGAGTATCTAAGTTTTCAGAAGTGAATGAACAACCATGACAACATCTGTCTGCATGTTAAACTAAGCTGCCGTGTTCCTCAGTAATGCACAGCTTCTCCAGTTTTGGGATCACAATGTAAAATCCAGTGTCAGTTCCATTATTTCCTGATTTGACCAGAGGACCTTGTGATTTGTATTAAATACAAAACTGTTTCCAAACACGTTGAATCTGCTGCTCTGAGTGTGTGAAGTTGATGTTTCCAGGCCCCAGTGTTTGGTGCTGGCTGGTTATCCAAACTCTCGCCCTGCTCTGCTTCAGCTGGTTCATTCTTTCACCAAGAACATCGGCCTCGTGGTCTGCGGCCACGTCAGGATCGTACGTACAGGAAACCTCAGACCGCAAGTTGCATCATATCGGTGTGTGTCCTACCTTCACCCGTGTCTCTGTCCTGCTCCAGGTGTCCCGTCGGCCAAACATGAAGGAGCTGTCCCAGGAGCACGCCCGCTGTCAGCGCTGGCTCAACGAGAAGCGCATCAAGGCCTTTTACACCCCCGTGTTCTCCGACAACCTGAGGCATGGGGCGCAGTTCCTCCTGCAGGTGTGAGCTCATGGCCGAAAAATTCAAGTCCAAACCTCTTAAAGAAAGATGTTTTCCTCTGTGAGGTCCGTTGGGCAGGCCTCACCAAAAGTATCTGAGTGTCCAGGTTTCCTCAGTATCTACATCTGCTCTTCACAGCAGTGGCTTTAACGAACCAGGCTTTTCTTTATGGAACGAATCCACATTAAATGTATAGTTAGGCTTTTCATACACATGCCTTTGGTCTGTGACGCTAATTTTCCTCTAGAGTTTCTGTTAGTATTATTTTATTTTCACCTGTGCAACTTGTTTCCATATATTTATTTTATGTTTTTGTGATGCTTTGTTTACTTATGTTTGTTTATTTTGGGATGAGTTAAAGCTTTAATTTATGGAGGTTAAAAATAACAGCTTGTTCTCTGAGTCCTTAGAACAAAGCTGCTGTCTGAGGTCTGTCTCACGCCTGCTCCCTGCTCCTCAGGCCGTCGGTCTGGGTCGCCTGAAGCCCAACACACTGGTCATGGGTTTCAAGAACAACTGGAGCGATGGAGACATGAGGGACGTGGAGATTTATGTCAACACTATACAGTGAGGACTGATGTGTCATTATATCAGTTACATGGGACATTTTTCTGCAGAATGTGTAGTTTTACTTTTGATACTATGTGTTGCTGCATTTTCTGTGTAAGCGAAGCAGTGAGGTTAGTCGCGTGTTTTGTGTTCCAGTGATGCCTTCGACCTGCTGTTTGGAGTGGTGATCCTGCGGCTGCAGGACGGACTGGACATCTCTCACATCCAGGAGCAAGGTACCTCTGTCTTCTCTGTGCATCTGTCCGTCTGCCCACTGCTCCCACTGCAGCCATCTCCCTGTCGCTCCCTGCAGACGAGCTGCTGTCGTCCCATGAGAAGCCACCAGTCGGCGGCAAGGAGGCGGTGATGTCTGTCAGTCTGGCACAAGACCCTGACTCCTGTCTTTCAAAAACCACCAGCAACCAGAGCAGTCCACTCATCCTGAGAGGTAAAAATGAAGAACGTGTTACCTCATTTCATCCCTGCCAGAGACAGGTCCAGGACTCTACTGCCAGCAACACATATACAGCATGTACAGTAAATAAGACAGCAAGTTTCCCCTAGCTTTTAGTCTTTGTGCTAAGCTAGGCCAACCACGGCCTGGGCCTACAGTATCTGTGAGCTGGATGAACAGAGAATCTGATCCATCCTCTCATACGACTCTGTGGGAGACACAGAATAAGAATACTTTCTATAATGCTTGTGTGTTTATTAATCCGATGTCACCTTGATTTACCTTGTGTCACATCCTGTGATGTGGTGTCACCTACTGAAGAGTCCAAGTCTCCCCTGAGTCTGACCGACCAGCGTCTGCTGGCGTCCAGTCAGCAGTTTAAGAAGAAACAGGGCAAAGGAACCATAGACGTTTGGTGGCTGTTTGATGACGGAGGTCAGTTAATAACAACAGATCCATGTGCATGTGTCAGCGCCTGTAGCTCACACATCTTACAGAATCCATCTCATATATTTAACAACAAACTCAAAGTTCAGTTTTAATGTCTCTGCTCAGCCTCTGCAGAGCTAATGACCACAAAAAGACGTTTCCATGCAGAAAAAAGAGGAGAGCATCAAGAAGATGACTGAAACCACATGAACTCTAAACCTGGGTCAGTAACGTGTGTGTGTGTGTGTGTGTGTGTGTGTGTGCAGGTCTGACTCTGCTGATTCCCTACCTGCTGACCAACAGGAGTAAATGGGGCGACTGCAGGATCCGCATCTTCAT